TAAAAATATTACAGCAAAGAGCATTTTCTAAACAAGTAATCATTAATGTCTTGTTTTCTAGAAGATAAATTCGCTATGAAGTGATATTAAGTCAGATAGTTTGTTTATTTTGAGGAACTCCACATTTAATTTTGACTTTTTTTTTGAAAACAAGATAATTAAATAGAAAATGCTTCATTATTCAAGAATTTTTAGATATTTGGCCTAGAAACAAGACAAAACACAAACACTTTTATTGCAGTGTTGCTTCCAAGTCAGTGGTTTCCAAGAGAACTGAAAAACTAAACCCTGCTATTATTATTCTGTAACCCTTCATGTTCATCATCTGAGAGTGGCCACTGGTCTAACTAACTCAAGTGATGAAGTGATTGGTTTATTTCTGCACATGATGTTTGGCAGCGATACGCTGACATCTGTTTAGAGATGTCCCTAAATGACATTCCAGGCCTTGTGATGTCTCCTGAGGGGAGCGGGTAAAGTTAATGCTGATGATGACGGTTTAACACCCCGGCCCTGCAAACTTGTTACCAGGGGCATTTCATTTACACATCTACCACCCTTCTGCTTAATTCAGCCAGCCAGAATATAATTAACAATGTAAATCATCAGGTCCACTGAGGGATTCATTAATTTAGGCAAGAGTCGTTATTATGTTCCTGGTTTGATAAAACCCAAAACTAAAAAAGAAGACAGCCCATGTTTGCCTTTAAAATAAACTTACTATGCAGACATACAATGAATATTTGTCATTTTGTAGGAATTATTAAGAGCTCAAGCAGCTTTGTATTTTAGAGGATATTGTTTGCTGTTTTCAATGAAAATATACCCATTTCCATAAAAAAATATTGTATATGTTATAAAATAGTTTCCATAAAAAATAGTGTATATGAAGTGTTTTTAGTTCAATTGCCAGTGTCAAGTGGATCATTTAAACAATTAAAAAGTTGTCATATAACCTAAAAAAAATATTTCATCCAAATTAAAGGACATGAGATGTTGTTTGGATGTGAATATATAATATTGCAGTATATAAAACAAGTATCTCTGTAGTGTGTTTTCAACTAGGGCTGCATGATATTGGAAAAATCTGACATTGTGATATTTTGTTTTGCGATAGATATTGCAATATGAATATAATTTCACCAGATAATTTGAATAGCTCTTTTTAAAAAGATTTAAATAATTTAGATTGACTGGGGTGATCACATGTTTTTCTATGCAGTGCATCTGCATAAAATATGAAGATGCAGAGTCTAACAGTATTTAAAAACAAAAATCCAACAATCAAACAATTTTGTACAATAATATAAAAATGATATTGTTATTTTAATTTTTAATAAATAATCAAATCCCACCATGTGACTATTGCGAATACACACATTGCGACATTGATACTCAAAAAATATATTGTGCAGCTCTACTTTCAACGTTACTCTCTGAGTTTGCCACAGCAAAAACTCAACCAATAGCGTGTGTTTGAAGGAAGGGTTTCTGTTTGCTTGAACAATGACTTATGGGAAAGTATTTTGAAAACCGATAAATCATTTTATGCTTGGTAGTATAGAAAATATGAATTTAATCAAATTAATTCAAATGAATGGCCAGTAAACAGACTTAAATATATTGGATTCCAGGAATTAAATTGTTTTCTTAGTTAAATGCAGTAGAAAGAGGTCATTAAGGATTAAAAAAAGTGAACATTCACTTTTTTTTTTTTCAAGTGTATTTACTGTCACGTCTGCATGCTTCACGTATCTGCTTCGGGACATGACTGTCTAAGTTCATGGGGTTGAATCATGATGGTGGACTGATAGAATATTCATGATCTCTGCATAGAGCTTGAAGTAAGTGAGGTGACATGCTGAATTCACATTAAACTTTTCTTTAGTGCCCTTAAAATGACTTAAACAGATGCTAGTTTAAAATTATACAAAAAATATATGAAATAAATATGAAGCTGAGGAAAAACTTAAAGTGGAAAAAAGGCAGAAATCTTTTTTCTATGTCTTTGTGTCTGTATTTTTTGTTACCATATTTTCAAAAACATTTAAGTTGTTTTTTTTCCGCTTAACAAGACACAAAATGCAATACTTTAACCTTTATTACAAATTAGCATTACTGTTTTAGAAATGAAAATAGTTGTGCTGCTTAATACAGTTGTGCTTAACAATACATGTTAAAAAAGGAGGAGTGGGGTTCTTTGATGAAAGAAGGATGCAGTTTCTAGTATTACTTAGCAGCCCTGCAAAAATAGCAGGGCTTTAAAGCATAGGTTTTTAACCACCTTTTATGAACATCCATTTTAGGTGTCAAGTTTTTTGCTCGAACATCACAAACAGAGCTCTTACAAGTCTATAAAAGTGAAGGCATGCCTCAATGGGTAAAAGTAGACCACTTTCAATTCAAGGTCCAACACCTCAGGACTACTTTTAACTTGATGTTTACCTTACTTCTGATGAGAACTAACTGCCTGTTTGGGGTCCTGATTCAAACAATCAAGGCAGCAAATCGTGACACCCAATTTTGATCGAAATCTTGTACAAACCACTGCCAACCCCATTATCTGTCTCTGTAATTTGGCAAATGCTCGATTTTTGGTTTGCACTTATGTAACTGAATCTTAATTTGTCTCCCTCTTCTACCCAAACACTCCATGGCTTGGTCTACTACAAAAATCACGTATCTAACTCTCACTATTGTGTGCACAGATATCAGAGTTGACTGGAAGATATAGGATTGAACAAATTAAATGAAATGACTGGACAAAAATGTGGCCCCCCCATAGAAGATCTGTTTTTAATAAAGCTTTAATTACACAAAATCTTTTTTTGTGATCATAATTTCTCCAAAAATAATTGTTACTGACCGGACACTTTTAAACTTCAACATATATGTAAAACAAGTCAGCCAGTAAGAGCTGTGTGATTAATCCTCACACCCCTGATCTCAAGAAGACAGACGCTAGAGGCTGTGGTCTTCAGCATCCTTGTTAGTGTGCCTGCTTCCCACGCCAGAATCACCAGTTTGAATCCAGCTCTAGGCAGACCAAGTTGAATCAGGGAAGTTACATTAGACCCATGACCTGTTGAATATAATGGAGGTCAGCTATTCTGTGTTAATAAACTTAGCTTTCCTAGCCTTAAGAGGCACGTTGTGACAGGTGCTAGGATGGTCTGAAGTTTTTAATGCTTTGGTTGGTGTGCCTGCCTCTCATGCCAGACCTGCCAGTTTGAATCCCTTCTGTAGAGGGTCGAGTAGAATTGAAGGGGTTACACGTGCCGGGATCTGGATGGGAGTGAATTTTGTGGGATCAGTGTAAGGCCAGCTAGAGAAATTGGCATGTAAACCAACACTTGCCTGGCCTCGGGGTTCACTAGTGACAGATGCTAGAGTAGGGGTGTCCAAATATGTCCCTGCAGGACCAGTGTCCCTCAGAGTTTATCTCCTACCCTAATTAAATACACCCGGCTAGCTAATCAAAGCCTTCAGACTGACTAGAAGCTTTCAGGCAAGTATTTTGAAGCTGGTAAATCTTTAGGACAGTAGCCCTTCAGCAGCAGGTTTGGACATCTCTGTGCTAGAGGCTGTATGTGACCTTGTTAGTGTCCATGTCTTCACTTCGAAGTTAAAACATGCTGTAAGAACTGAGTAGAACTAGTGGGCATACATATGCCTATATTTAACTGTTCAGAATTGGTTGGGTTTATACAATATCAAATTTTGTGAAATTGTTGTTCCCCGTACATGCTAAACTGGCGGTGTTAGATCTGACCCCATGTGACAGTACTCTGCTCTCTCCACTAGTTACACTATGTTAGCAATGTCTCATACCCCAGCTCTGGAAAATGGAGCTATGATGTACTGTAGTTGGGAATTTAAATAATTGAGTAATATCTTTGAACTGCTAGTGCCATAATTCAGAAGCACTTCAGTTCGCCCTTTCCGAGCGGTCCACTTTGAATTGCAGTCTCATCAGCGGGCGCCGCTCCTTGATTGCTGATTTTACACACCTTGCTGCTTTCGCCTTTTTTACTGTGAGTCACGGTTGCTCTTATCTAGAGATAAAGCTCGGGGTGAAAATACTGCACAAAAAGCATCAGAGGAACATCCATTTCCATGTCAATAAAGCCGAGTAGAAAGGATGACCTTTTCAGCCAGTGCCCATGAGAACAATGCAGATACCACTCTTTGTTCTGAGAGGTAAACACCCAGCAGGCACCACCTGTGGACCCTACTGCAAGAACGCTGCGGTTAATATTCACACCAAAGCTGAGACGGTGAGCCAAGGGTTCGTGCAGCCGTGTAGGATGATTCACTATTAATCAGGGTCTCGGAAGAGGGCACCGAATCTGAGATCTCCATCTCGCTCATGTTATTTGAGGGAAGGCAGTAGCGTGCTATTATTCAGACTTTATGTGTGTGCAAAGTGCTAGGGGAGAGAGTTCATACTCAGGAATAAGTACTAATGTGACCCCCTGCCCACCTCAGATCTAGTGCTCGGAGCAATCTGCTTCTGAATGCACACAACCCCCTAGGAAGAGGCTGTTTGAGGCAGATTGCTTGAGTTGGAGAAATACCACACGGAGTCGAGCAGAAAATGGCCTTGAATTGGAACCCCACTAGACACCAGTTAGGCCTGACAGAATGCGTCTCATATTGCACATTCACTGCAGCATATTGTTTCTGTATTGCATATTTGCGCGCTGATGATAGTGGATGCAATGCCGGCAGTAAATAACTGGGAATAAATCTTCACTTACAGCTTGATCAAAAGGCATTTGACTCTTGGAGGACCTTTTCCAGCGATAATACAGACGGTGTTTATTTGAGTTTATGGCAATCGGCGCTTCATACAGCGCTGCGTGTCGTAATTGTGATTTATAAATATAGATAGACTAGTAGGGTTATTCAAGCGTGCATGTAAATCCTATTCAGTCAAATGTGCTAAAAATGTTTCGGGCCTCTTAAATTCTATAATTTGTTTTGTTTTTTTGGACTAGATCCAGGCTGGCAGACTTTCACATGAATTGCCAGACGACACCGCATTCAATAACAAGCTGTCCTAATGATAACTACCACGGTTGTCTGGTGTCCTACGTTGGACTCATTGGTGAGTGATTATGGGAAAAATCTGCTGCATGGAAATAATAAGAATTTGAAATTGCATTTTAATGGACTGACTGTTTGGAACATGTATTTTGTCTTCTTTAGCTGCTTTAATTAGAAATGCATCAGGGATTTTACTTTTAAGAAAGATTAGAAAGGGCAGGGGAAAAGATGAAAGCAAGGGGTATTAAAATGTTTTGAAGCCAAGGATCCCCTAATATGATGCCTTTTCCCCCTAATAGGAATACTTAGAGTATGTAGTACAATATAAATATATATAATATATAATAATAAAATAATATTATAATATATAATATAAAATAACCACCAATTTTCCATAGCTAAAAATAAATAGAAAATAATTTTATAACTAATTATATTGTATATATAAAATTCTTTAAACACAGAAAACAGAGCAAATGGAATAAACATTGAAAATGCAAAAAGTTTAGTATTAGTACCACACATGTTTACAAGTGAAACAAGAACTGTATTGTACCCAATTGCTTCTTAATTTGCACAAATGTATTATTTTATTTATCCTTTTTAAGCAATAACTACTTCTACAGTGTAAATTAAGCCTGCAAATCATCAGAGAAAATTATTTAATTGCATCTTTTTAGCCTTTTACCTTCTAGTGGCTTAGAAAATCCAGGGTCACGCTGTGAACAAATATATCTGTAGACGAGAGCAGACCAACAACCTCTGGCCATTATACTGAGCCAAACAGCACATTATACTCCAGACAGCGGGATCTATAAACCAACATGTTCCCATCTCATGAATATTTACGAGGATCTCTACCCTTGGCCCTTACAGGATCAGATGTGACTCCAAACTATGTGGATGCGAGCCACACCAACATCACCATATCCCCTTGGTGTGGCTGTCGAGGCAGTGGAAATCACGAAGCTGAGTGCGAGGCCTTCCTGCGAGACTTCAGAGAGAACACTTGCCTGAGTAAGTGCAGATAAAACCTCACGTAACCTCACGGTTCACGGCCTCAATAGCCATCCTTTGGGCTTAACCTAAATAGCACATTAATGAGACATGCTATGTCTTACGGATATGTGGTCTCTTTTGCAGAGGGTTTATTTTTCCCAGATGAACATTTTGTGGCTTTCTGTGCATATGTTTTAATTTGCATATGTGTGTGTGTGTGTGTGTGTGTGTGTGTGTGTGTGTGTGTGTTTCGGTGTGCAGGAAATGCTATCCAAGCTTTCGGTTATGGCACCGATGCAGGTCTAGTTCCCATCACAGAGTCTCAGTCGGCAGTCCCATCAGTACGGACCAATCTGCAACCGGCTATCATCACCAAACATGTCATCAACTCAAATGATGTCAAGCAAATAGACAGTGCATGCGTTTTCTCCACATGTGCTAACCTTCAGGTGTGTGTGCAATTTCTTTATCGTTCATTATATTGATTTGCACTACTATTGAGTCACTCCATACCAAAAAAAAAAATCTACATTTAAAAAAAACTACTTTAAAAGTCAATTATTTGCTGGTTGATTTCACTTGCAAAATGTAAATGGTGAGGTCTTTTCAAAACATAGCTTTTCTTGCTTGCTAATCAGGCCAGCCTGATCAGTAACAACTCATCCAATGAGGTGAGACGGGCGGAGCTTTCTGATCGTCTATCCAAATGTAAAAAACAGGCAGTGTAGAGGAAAAAACATCAAGCATTCACTTCTGAAAACTGCCTAAATAATGAAAGTCAGCTGCCTGAAGATATATATTCAAAAACTGTAGACGAAAAGTATCTAAATGAGCAGTTAACTACACGACAGCAACAACATGGCTGAATATCCAAATTTCATTCACTCATTCATACTATACTTTGCAATCATAACACTATTTTGCCTTGTGTTATGCTTTAACCACAGTATTAGGATGCTTTTAAACCGTTGCTATTGGTTTATTTTTATAATATATTCCATATTCTTATAATACTCTTATAATATTTTATAATATATTCCATATTCCATGTCATTTTTATTCAAGTTGTTTACTTTATTAAAAGCCCAAATCGATGGGTCTCTCTCTACATGAGATTTAAAAGTGTCACGACTATCACTGCTCCTTAGATCCAGGGGAAGCTAGTTCCATAGCTGAGGAGCCATAAAGATAAAAGATCTGTCTTCCACTGTGCCTAATCAAGTGCGAGGTGGCACCAGGGAGAAAGAGTTGGGTGATCTAGGAGTGCGAATAGGGGTTAAAATATGAAAAAGCTAAGCGAGATATTGAGGAGCAAGATTATGAAGTTTCTTGAAAATTGGAGTAATGTTTTAAAATCCATAGGAAACTTTACCAAAAACCAGTGAAGCAGATAGAGAAGTGGTGTGACATGCTCATGAGATGAACTCCTAGAGATGACACGAGCTGCTTGGTTCTGAACCAGTTGGAGTTTATAGTAGAAGTTTATAGAAGGAAGCCCAGAGAGAAGTGCATTACAGTAGTCAAGATGTGAAGTAATTAATGCATGGATGAGAATTGCTGTGTTATTAGTTGTAAGAAAAAGGTAGAGAAGAGTAATATTACGCAGGTGGAAGTATGCAGTACGAATAATATTATTGATGTGACCTTCAAATGAGAGTATGCTATCCAAGATGACTCCTAAACTCCACCTGCACAGAGGGAAGAATTGTGCTACTATCAATGTCTATTGTAAAATTATCAGCTTTATTTAAAACACTTTTAGTCCCAATGAGTAGGGTCTCAGTTTTTTGGCTATTTAATTTTAAAAAGTTAGCTAAAAGCCAGATTTTTATTTCAGCTAAACATCTGCTCAATGCTGAAGGAGGAGAAAAACTGGAAGGATGAGTGGACAGGTACAGTTGAGTTTTATCAGCAAAGCAGTACATTTGTTTGTCGTATGTACTGAAAATGTGACTAAGAGGCAATAGATATATGATAAACAGGAGTGGAACCAGTACGGAACTGTGTGGGACACCAGTAGTGACAATCTGAGATCTTGACTAAATTGGACAAACTGAGTATGTCCTACTGAGGCATCTCTGGCATCACAAGTACATAGGTATTTACAGCCTTTGCTCAATACTTTGTTGATGCAACTTTGGCAGCAATTACAGCCTCAAGTCTTTTTGAATATGAGGCCACAAGCTTGGCACACTTGTCAAGAATTTTTACCCATTCCTCTTTGCAGTACCTCTCAAGGTCTAGCAGGTTGGATGGGAGCCATATTCAGATCTCTCCAGAGATATTCAATAGGATTTAGGTCTGGGCTCTGGCTCACAACTCAAGGACATTCAACGAGTTGTTGTAAAAGTACTCTATTGATATTTTTGCAGTATGCTTTAGGTCATTGTCCTGCTGGAAGATGAAACGTCGCCCCAGTCTGAGGTCAAGAGCTCTCTGAAGCAGGTTTTCATTCAGGATGTCTCTGTACATTGCTGTATTCATCTTTCCCTCGCTCCCGACTAGTCATCCAGTTCCTGCTGCTGAAAAACATCCCCACTGCATGATGTTGCCACCACCATGGTTCACTGTAGGGATGGAACTAGTCTGGTGATGAGTGGTACCTGGTTTTCTCCAAAAGTAACGTCTGGCATTCCCTCCAAAGAGTTCAATTTTAGTTTTATCAGACAAGAGAATTTTGTTTCTTACGGTCTGAGAGTCCTTCAGATGCCTTTTGACAAATTCCAGGCAGGGAGTGGCTTCTATCTGGCCACTCTACCATACAGGCCTGATTGGTGGATTGCTGCACAGATGGTTGTTCTTCTGTAAAGTTCTCCTTTCTCCACAGAAGAACACTGGAGTTCAGACAGAGTGACCAGAGGTATTGACCACCTCCCTGACTAAGGACCTTCTCCCCCGATCACACAACTTAAATGGCCGGCCAGCTATAAGAAGAGTCCTAGTGGTTCCAAAAAACTTGAGGCCACAGTGCTCATTGGAACTTTCAGAGCAACAGACATTTTTCTGTAACCTTCCCCAGCCTCGTGCCTCCTATTACAGAGGTTTAGACAGTTCCTTTGTATTCATGCTCGGTTTGTGCTTTGACATGCACTGTCAAATCCTGGGACCTTATTTAAACAGGTGTATGGCCTTTCAAATAATGTCCAATTAACTGAATTTACTACAGATGAACTCCCATTAAGCTGCTGAAACATCTCAAGAATGATCAGAGAGAACAGAATGTACCTGAGATCAATTTAGAGCTTTAGCCAAAGGCTGTGAACACTTATGTACATTTGATATTTCAGGTTTTTTATTTTTAATAAATTTGCAACAATTTAAAAAAAAAAATAATAATAAATTGTCGTTATGGGGTTATTGTGTGTATAATTTTGAGGAAATAAATTAATTTAAATCATTTTGGAATAAGGCTGTAACAGTTTTTATTTTTTTTTTTAAAAAGTGAAGTGCCATGAATACTTTCCAGATGAACTGTAGGTGTGGAAATATGATATTTTACAAGTTATGGTATTTATTTTTTTTATTATTAAACAAATCTGGTGATAAATAGCAAACAAAACTACATATTTGATGTATAACATCATAAAATTATTTAACTATCTTCTGAAAACCCTAGTTTTCAGTTATTGTAATGTACAATGATATTTATGCTAGCCCTCACTGGAGGAAAAATGCTATTAAATTTGGATAGTCCTGTACGTCCTGTTCTAGCATCAAATTGCTCGGAATGTCAAGATTAGTGCTAAAACTTGCATCGGGGCTTTATACATGTACAAAAGCAAAACACACAAATTCCATTAAAGCCCACTTAAATCTAGGCCAAACCTTGAGGACATCAACATTTACAATCATTAAAATAACTGAGGCAAGCAGAATCCCTCTATGAAGGGGAAAAAATCCTGTTTTACCTGAAGATATGCAGAGTGTCTAGTGGAAGCAAAAACACGGTTGTATAATTCAGTGCGCAGGTGAATAATTCAAGTACTGAGAGCAACTGTCAGCTCATGCAGGGGCCGTTCAAAGTGGACCTGCAGCTTGGCTGTCCGCATTAAAGAGTTTGTTCAGCCTAAAATGTATATTCTGTCATCCTTTACTGTACTCATCCTTGTCATTTCAGAACAATCAGACTTGCATTCATCTTCAGATCAGATTCTGGATCTCATCAATGGCATGTTTACATTAAAAGTTGGATGTTTAAGATAAAGAGGTCAAAAAATAAATCCATATGCAATCCATCATGTGGTTGGATTGCAATTCTGAAGAGACATGATCACTTTATATGATGAGCAGATTTAAATTTCTCTTTTATTCACATACACACATTGATCAGTGAGCAAAAGCAGAAGCTCTTTCAAACGTGCTTGGAATGCAAGAACAAACCTCATTAGCTGCCCTTCGACTGTCAGGGCAATAGTGAATGTGCCGGTGCATTACTGGGTCAGTCTAGTATCTCACTTTCGAGGTCTTAACCGGGCTTTGCTCTGGGGCAAATAACCAGGATTTGTATGGCACTTAGTTAAAACAAAACAATAATAGTGAACTTTTAGCCCAACAGTTAAAAAGTGGCTGTTGGTATTTACAAAACTCAAATGTGATGAAATGTGACCGTTTTCATTCTGAGGTGAACTACTCGTTTAGTGTGCTGTGTAATACTTGAGAAAGCTGTGTGTCTTGGTGCTGAGGGGCTGCTCAGATGTAAGATTAAAGTTTGAACCCAATGAAAATCCTCTCTCTGTAGTCAACTATTTCATGTTGACTGTCGCATTGATTTTAAGCATGGTTTGGTTGCATGTTTTGGCTTGCCTACAGGAAGCCATGTAATCCCATGTAAATGAATGATGTCATCATAAACACTAATTTGTCAGCTAATCCGAGTTTGAAAGAAGCTGCATTATAGAGATATGGCTTTGTGTGACCACTTCCATCATATCGTGCCACGCAGTTCTGTCCTAAGTCCTGAGGACTCAGTTTATAAGCCCCTGGGTACTGGAGAAAATGACTGTACTCTCTCATCCATGCTGAAACAAATTATGAAAACTCCGCAGACAGAAATATCATAAAGTCGCGCGGGAAATAACTATTTTAATTTATGTCTCTGGCAATTGTCGTAGGAGGCAACAGTCAATCTGTGGAAAAGTGCTTATCTGACATTGCCGCTCATATCTGCTCGATTACTTGGTGAGTTTACAAGTTGAATGTGTTGAACTTGTGCTGGCGGTAAAGGATTTGAGTATGAAATGTGTTGATTGAATAAGCAGATGCACTGAAGAATTTCTCATTGAAGCAGTAACTCCTTATAAAAATGAGCAAAAGCACATTCATTTTATAAAAGTTGGATTTTTATCTCACTGGTTACTTTATTAACTACGCCTAGCTAGTACAGGCAGGGCTCAAAATTGCGAGGGTTCTGGTTGCATATGTGCCCAAAACTTGATCTATCCGACCTCAAAATATATTTGGGAGCACTTGTGTAAGTGCATAAAGTTGATGTCGTGCGACCAGTTTTCACAGCAAAATGTTCACCACATGCGCAGAATTAGGAGGCATTCACGCATTAAGCATCTTTGCACCTAAAAACACCAAACGCAGCACTCAGGAATGGTTTAAAACAGTTGGAATGTCAACTTGCTGTAGTAAACAAAGCCCAAAATGCTTGCCCTGCCTTCAAGCTCTTCTTATTGGCCCACTGCGTTAAACAAGAAAACGAATGGATAGGTTAATATTAGCTGTCAATCACTCAGTCCGATGAGAGGGAGCTACAGCCACAAAAATGTAAAGGTCTGGAACCGACAGAATAAAAACAACATTGGCAGATTTAGTTTTAGAAACCACCTAAAGTTACAAATAATGGCACATATTATTAGTAATCATGTAATGAATGTCAATCCAGCATTTACACTTTTCGAAGAGTGGATAAAAGACTTCCAGTGTTTAAAGTCTGCTATGAAAATGACTAAAGCCATTCACTGTAAAGCCGGTCGGACGAAGTTTTTACATACCAGTGTTAGACACTGAATCTACACATTTAAAGCACGAGATGTTCTAACGTTATTTAATCCTTCATTTAATCGTCACGATACTGTCAGTCGTGAGACTGACACCACATTCACCATTGCAAAAGTGCATGAATTCACAGAGATAAAAAAACTAATATTGCAGCTCATGAAAAGACCATTTTTGCTATTAAGATTTTTTAAGTTAGGAGCACCGGTGCTATCAAAAAAAGGTTCATTTTGAGCCCTGACAGGGTTGGACCTCTATTGGCTTAAGAGCCGTTTCTGGCACAGATTCAACAAGGTGATGGAAACATTCCTCTGAGAATTTAGCCCATATTGATATGATTTCATGATGCAGTTGAAGCAGATTTATTGGCTGCACGATTTGGGCGAGTTTGTATGAATAGTGGTCTCAGTTTTCTGTGCTGTATGTATCTGCTTCAAGGTTTAATGTGTTGTGTGTTGAGTGATACTCTTCTGGAAACCTCGGTTGCAACTAATGGTTTTTTGAATTACTGCCACCTTTCTATCAAATTAACTATTCATCCACAAAACTGCCACTCACTGGATATTTTGGTATCTGGTAATCCCTAGAAATGGTTGTGCATAAATATCCCAGCAAATTAGCAGATACTGCACTGTGTTACTGTACGCATCAGCACAGCGCATCTCACTTGGGTTCACTTTTGCTGGGCTCGATTTGAATTTTCACAGCAGTTTAGTGCTACATAAAATGGCTGGGATTATTGCTATAGTTGAACCATCTCTACTCCCATGACATCATTATTTTCATTATTGGTCATCCCATCCAGCTCTTGCTAAATCTGCTTACCAGAGGAATGTCTAGAGCTTTTCTACTGACCATAATGCTTCCGTTTCATATTTCTTTTTCTGGGTGGTATAAAAAATGGGTTAGTTGAGACAGGTAGTGACAATTCTCTTTGAGAAAAAAAAAAAAATCCCTTTTTAACCTTTCAGTGATTAGCAGTGTGTATAGGTCACATTTTGATATCGGTAAATTTCAATTGGAATCTCACTTGAAATTGAAACAGAAAAAGTATCTGGTACTAGATATGGAACATAGTGGAAAAGCCCCCAAAATTGAGCCATACTGAACTGCACCTGTGCTTTTCCATCCAGTGGTTCATCTAATTGGACAGATGCTGCAACACAAGATCTTCTTTTATCCACACAGATGAATGAATTAGTCAACAAATTACTGGAACTGTTCAAAATTCTATTAAACATGACAAAATAGCCAGCCACCTTTGGGAATGAGGTGAACACAAGACTAAAAGCACAAGAGTTTAATGGTATTTTGTAGCTAATGTTGCTACACAAGAGCAGACAGAGCTCAGTTAAACTGGATTACAGATGGTGGGTGAATATGATGCAGGATTTTGCTATGAAATGTTGTGGGCGCAAAATGGCTGCAACTGTTTAGTGAATTTGCCATGGAATGTTTACAGATGAGTACAAAAAGAAATTTGTGTTTTCTGAGATGAATCCATTCCCTGATGCAGTCAGGGATTTGAACGTGCTGTTAAATAGGGCAGTGAAAGTATCAGTTATTAATTTTGCTTATTAATGTCTCGATGTCTGTGAAGTTCTGCTTGGGTTTCAGTTTGTTTGCTTTTGTTTCAAGCAGCTGCTTCACCCTTTGAAGTTGAGTGCTTATCTTAAAAAAAACTAAGCAGGGATTTCTTTCTTTCTCTTTCTTTCTTTCTCTTTCTTTCTTTCTTTCTTTCTTTCTTTCACATTTTACTTCATTGCCTGAACCGCAGAACAGCTCTAAAAATTGCATGTTTCTTGTGGGAAAAGCAATTCAAAGAATCAATCAAGCAAACCATTGTGCAGTTTTTCATAGACTTCTTAATTATAGATTTAAATAAATGAGGCTGCAGTTGTCGTTTTCTTGAAAAACTGGGACGAAAACTTACATTGTATAGTAGTAGTAGTTGTATTTAATATATAAAAAAAATTTTCTCCAAAGGTTAAACTACATGGCCCTACTTTTGACATTAAGACTTTTATTTTTTAAACATTTCTCTTTTGTTGCCAACAGGTTTCTCATTACAAATTCAAGAACATTTTAACAAGCATTTTTAAATCCCCATTATACGGGACATAACTTTTAAGGGTAACATGAGTTGATATTTGAGTTGGCATTCTAAACCAATGTAAAACTAACAAAGCAAATGTGACTGGTCAAATAATTTCTATTTTCAGTACAATCAGCAGATATCTGTTGTTGTTTTTTTGTCATATTTGCTAATGTCTGTCCCCCATCTGTCATTGGTCATCTATGCAGACAGTGCCGCCCCCAACTCATCCAATTGATTAAGACAGTGTTGGATTGTCAGGGTTGTTTAGAGACTCAAAAACACACATTATCCTTACATGGCATTCACACTTTTTGTTTCAGTCTAAATGTAGTCATTCCATTAAAAAGCATAAATGCTGGATTTTCTACAGATAAAGGTGTTTACAAAAAAGCTTTTCAGTCTGATTAAGCTGTCAATCATCTTACTACTAGATTATTTTTTTGCATTTAAACATTGTCAAATTTTTTTCTGAGCAATCAACCAACAAATGTCTTACAATTTATTCACATTAAGCTAGAACACAAGTTTTGTAATTGCCAAATGACACACCTCACCTTTAAGATCCCTATTACACAGATCCTTTACAACTGGGTTTACTTTAAAATTCCAGAACTGGGGTTATTTATACAACGGGATTATGTTGCTAAAAAATGCTAAAAATATGATTGATATGTGTTTTCACAGGACAGTGAGCAGAAATGTTCTAACAGTTTTGAATGTGCTGATGAGGTAAGACGCATTTCACCTACACAATATATCAACATAATATAATAGTATTATGATCATTTCATTTCCTACTTGTAATTACATGTGAAAGTCTAATTTGAAAGTGTTCACACCTTTTGTCGTGCTATGCTTCTCTGTGCATGTTTAGTAAATACAGACAGTACTGTTTTCATGGCAAAAGACATGCGTTGGCATAAACTGTTAATAAATCTGCCCCTAATTATCTTTGAAATTAAATTGCATGAACCGGTCCCAGGGAAACACGGTGGCGCAGTAGAGCTGTCGCCTCACAGCAAGAAGGTTTGCTGGTTCAAGCCTCGGCTGGATCAGTTGACATTTCTGTATCGAGTTTGCATGTTCTCCCCGCATTCGCATAGGTTTCCTCGGGGTGCTCCGGTTTCCCCCACAGTCCAAAGACATACAGTACATGTGAATTGGGTAGGCTGTGTATGTATGTGAATGAGTGTGTATGGATGTTTTCCAGAGATGGGTTGCAACTAGAAAGGCATCCGCTGCGTAAAACATGTGCTGGATAAGTTGGCCGTTCATTCCGGCGACCCTGGATTAATAAAGGGACTAAGCCGAAGAGAAAATGAATGAATAAATGAACCTGGTCCCCACTTCACATATTTTTGTGTATATTGCTTAAATGACTAAATGTACCATTTCTGGAGATCAAAACCATTAGTTTCATCCCAATATCATAAATAGATGACTAAATATATGGTTTAAAAGGATAGTTCACCCAAAAATTTACTTAAGTCATTTACTCAACCATTACATGTTCCAACCCATATTTTGTTTATTTCTATATATGTATTTATCATTATTATGATTAATATTAAACATGAAAAAAAATCATTGAATAATATTGTAAACATGTAACCACTGACATCCATATTTATTTTTTTACTATAGATGTTAATGGTTACAGGTAGGCCCATGCAGAATCTTCGCGGACAGAAAGCCACAGATTTTTAGTTCATTATTAAGTCTATTTATTTAGTTATGTAAATGTTTGTAAGTTATTATACTCCTAAAACCATTCTGCATAAATCCGCTTATCTTTTACAAAATTCTTAGCAGAAACAGCAAAAAAAAATGTCCGCAGATTCTGAACCCTAGTTACAGGTTATACAACTTATTTGGAACAAGTAAAGGGTGAGTAAATGATGAAGCATTTTTTTTTTCATTATTTTTGAATGAATATTTTTTAACTTTAAATGCTAATATCTTTATTAACTTAAAGAAATGTGTACCTCTAATTTCTGACATATAACCTGTTATGTCAATAATAAATGTGTTTTTTTCTGTGCACTCGATGCATAGGTGGTGATTTGGGGTTGTCAGATCAATTGAGTTTTTGTTTTTGTAATAGTTCGATAGAGAAAAGTTTCAAATGTCATAAATGTTAAGCGTAAATCCTGTTACACTTATTTAGTATTAAAACATTCATTTGACTACTAATGTAATTTACCTAATGCGTTGTGAATCGGTGAGAGGAGTTAACCAGACAGTAATGTAAAAGTAAAGGCTGATCTATACTTCTGCATCAAACGCCGGCGTATGCTTCGGCGCTGACGCATAGCCCTTCGCCGTGGCCGTCGGCGTTGCTGACGTGCACCTCTTAAAAAATGTAACTACACGTCGCAACGATGTGTAGCGCAAGCTCTGTGATTTGTCGGCTTGGTAGCACTGACGAGTCTGGGCGGGACCGAGAGCTGCGTGAATGGTGCGAGCCTGATGGAGCGATTGTTTACAAGTGTGGAGTCCCGTGAAGGAGCTCATGATGGAAAGTTTTGTTTTGTGTTTACCTCATAGTTAAAGTTGTTGCACGTCCGCCGGTTCCTGCCTCAAAATGAGCGAGTTTAAGCCATTTGTACATCCCGGAAGTGTTCAGGAAAAGCAAAACAGCAGCGAAGAAACTCGACACAGAGGAACATTTACACCTCACTGCCAACTAGTGTTTCGGAAGTGTTAATGCAGACCAACAGAGACAGCGCGCAGAAGTATAAATGCACAGCTACATGCGTTGCATGCGCCGTGGGTTACGCCGGTCACTTGACGCAGAAGTATAAAGCAGGCTTAAGTGTTGAACTTCTGCAGAGTTGGAGTTTAGCCACACTATTATGTAACAAAGTAACTCATTCCACGATCTGTGCTGCCGTTAATTATATGCTGTTTTTAGATAGAGGAAGTTTTTAGTTCTGAAATCTGATGTTCTCATATGACTCATATATGTGTGATGAAGTAAAGTTTAAATTCTTAGTCGGATGACATGAGGATAAGTAAATAATGACAGTCCTGACTTTGGGTGAACAAATCCTTGAAGCAAAGAAGATAACTAAAAATCCTTATAATATGTCCACAGAATGTGCTAAACCGCAATATGGAGGGTTCCATTGACTCGGTGGGCTCTCACCAGGCCGACAACAACAGAGCCAGACACTCATCTGTGACTTCAATCAGTGTTTCTGCCGCCACACTGACACTGGCCTTTGCACTGGTCAATCAGGGTCTGTAAACACAGCCTGACTCTACAGCACCAGGAAGCATCTGATGGATTCTTCTGACCTCAATCAAAGAACTTCTCTAAAGTGACATTGATCTTTCTCTCTCTCTAAGTGTGTGTGTGTATGTGTGTCTCACACGCCATCTTTAAAAAAAAAAAAAAAAAAAAAAAATCTTTAAAAAAAAAAAAAAAAAAAAAAGAAAAAAAGAGCTCGTAACAGACTCGAAACACCACTGCCCCATTCAAGAGAAAGAAAGGAACCACTGGCAGAGAACTTCTGAGAAACGTCATCTTTTGAGGAAAGAAGTCCACGATAGTTTTAAAGCTGATGGACATTTGATGAAGAACTTTGATTAAGAACAGCCAGCCAATCATCGACAAACTCTCGCTGTATATTTACCTAGAGAAATAGAGCATTCGTCAAACAAACTCTTTGCTATCTCCCCACGCACATCAGTACAGTAGTGCTCACTGCCTCAATCATAACCAACGATTCCATGAAAATGTTTCTTTAGTTTGAAAAGAAAAAAACAAACATTTTTTTTAATCATTTCCCGAGTCTGTTTTTCAAGGATTCATCAGCGACACATTTTTAAGCTACAATCCGGCTAAAATGACTCGGACCATACTGCCCTGTGTACAATGTGTATAATGATGTTTGTAAGTATATGGGATTCTTTAAGAAAATGTCAAGCTTTTTTTTCCTGTTTTATCTCTAAAAGAACCTTTAGCATGTGCTGGAAAGCCGAAGACATGGGGAACCAGAACAAAAGCGGAGAGCCATGTGAAACGTATCACCATGGAGAGCCGTCAGTGCCAATGATGTTCGTCTTAGGCTGTTATTATGTGTAATCATTTCTTTCTCGCCAAAAGACTTGGATTATATTCAAAGAAAAGTGCTCCGGGAGAGCGGAACAAAAGATCCATTTGCAGAGAGGGTCAATTGTTGGTGTATTTTATAGTGTGCAATCTATCGTGTGGCCTTACTTTTTTTGTCTTCGCTCTGTTCCTCTCTCTTATGTAATGGTTTCAGACCATAACACTCGCAGAGTAACGCCAAGACAGACAGAGATGATTTCGAATGATCAAAAATAACAGCTCCTTCGACTTAAAATATATATATATATAAATAAATAAATAAAAGTCTTGGTTCATTTGTGATGCTTTAAAAGGGGGCAAGACAGAGGCTCAAGAATGTGTCAGAGATATTTGTTTAAATCTGAATAAAAACATCCTAGTAATGTTGAAGAAGTCCGAGTGATTATCTTGGAATAAGTTCTGAAAATTTTAAGTAGATATTTACACCCCCTTCGAATGTTATCACTCTATTGAATAATCATTATCAGTGGTTATCAGCTGATAGATATGGGCCAGTAGGAGCCTTCTGTGCCATTCATTCATCCACATGGTCAATCAGCAATACTGAAAAGACTAGACAATTAATGGGAAATTTAATAAATAATATAAATAATTTTGTTAACTTCCAGTTGCAACCATATGTGATCCATGGCTGATTAACTATGTGGATGGATGATAAAAACCTTCTAAGCCTACTAGTGGGCAAAGAAGGCCCCTACTGGCCCATATCTATCAGCTGATAACCACTGATAGCGCCCATTCAATCCAGTGGTGACATTCGAATCGGCTGATATTTAACACTGGAGTTACTAGAATTGTAATAGCATTAGTCATTTGGACCATTCATTATAAACTGTGTTGAATTAATTTGACTGTGTCATGGTTGTCACGATACTGGAATTTGGTACCAATCTGTACTGAAAGTTCAAAAACGTCAATTTCCTGCTAATATTTGAGCGCTGTTAAGCACGTTCTTAAACAACGCTAATTTGCCATTGTGTTCCCCTGCTCAGCAGAAATTACTGTGATTGGCCGTAAAGGGCATCAGTTCACCAAATACACTGGAGCGTTTCAAGGTCACGTCGATCAGCTGGTTTGTCTTTAAGCTGACATATGAGGAAATCCACTAAGGAATCGCGGCTTTAAAATGTTTCAGTGTCCCTATATCTGTGGGTACACTCAGGAAACGGCGGTGAGTTTGGTGAACTCATGACCTTCACAGCCAGTCATTTCTATTGTGAACGTGAACACAATGGCAAATCAGCAGTGTTTAAGAACGTGCTCAACAGTGCTCAAATCCTAGCAGGAAATGAACACTTTTAAACTTACAGTATAGATTGGTACCGTATGCCAGAATCATGACAACCCTAGTCACATTTTTTTGTATTTAAGCTTCAAATGTTGTAATATTTATGGAGTCATTATGCAAAAATACTATATATTTTTTAAATATAGCAAAAAATATAGGTGGATAAATGTTTCTAGACCACCCCTGAAGGTTAAAATCTCATATTGTACAGCAAGCAGGAGAGAAAAGTTTTACTATCAGTAAGTTTTTGTTAGCAAAATGTTGCTAGGCAACATATGGGAACTAATTTTCAAAGGCACAGAAAAGTTCAATTTGACCATTGTGCCAATTCAAGGAATAAATGTTAGAATGACATACTTAGACAATTAGGAAAAGTCAGGGAACTATAGTTATTTGTCAAATTTATTAAAGTTATTACAATACAAACTTGACAAACATGTAGCTCTAGTGTTAAAGGCAACATTCAATTAAAATATACTATTCAACTTTGTTTGATCAGGGATTTGATTCAGCAATTTGCGACAAAGTGCAACAATGCATGCAACTTTCCCAGCCGGCGAGGACATTAACATGACGTCAAATTGATGTTGTACCCCAACATTGTGGGGATGTTGCATTTTTTTGCCAATGAAAATCGGGTTTATGTCGAAACGTCATTTTGGTTGCTATATCTGACTAATAAATATCAGTATTTGACGTCAATATGACGTTGGTTTAAGATGTTGGCTCAACGTTGGATTTTGGTCACTTCCAACATAACCTTGTGGAGAGGTAAGCGTGATCGAACACCCAATCAGGGGGGAGAGCATGCTAGGAGCCCGGCGGCTAATCAGCGTGTCAATCAGAAATGATAAATAACACCTGTCTTTCTAGTGATTGGGCCGGAGAGACTCCCTTCTTAAGGAGAACGGGAGGAGCAGTCGGGAGAGGAGAGAGCACACACACACACATACACCGTTACCTGTGTGGTGGCATTAAACAATAAATAAAATATTTGCTTACCTGAATCGCCGACCCTGTCTTCTTCTTCCCTCAACAACGAACATTATTACAGTGGTGCCGAAGCCCGGGAAGAAGAAGAAACTTCGCTGCCAGAATGTCTACTCCGTCTACTAATCCATGTGCGGAAGTCATCCAGGCGCTCGCGGTTCTCCATCAGGAACAACATCATGCGCTGGTGGAGTTGAAGAAAGATCTAGAACATCGTTTCCAAGTCCTCATGGAGGCCCAGCGGGAGGACCGCGAGGTAATCCGGAGTCTGCTGACCCAGGAGATCCAGCCCGCTTCAACATCTACCGCCCACCCTCCCATTACGCTACAGAAAATGGCGCTGGAGGATGACCCGGAAGTGTTCCTGGATCTTTTTGAAAAGATGGCTGAGGCGTGTGGCTGGCCGCGGGCTGAGTGGCCGGTACGAGTCATCCCGCTGCTCTCGGGCGAAGCCCAGATCGCCGCACAGCAGCTACCGGCCCAGAATCTCCTGGAATACGCTCATCTGAAGCGAGCTATTCTCCAGCGGGCCGGCCGCAACCCGGAGGAGCAACGTCAGCTCTTCCGATCGCTGGTTTTGGCTGAAGGCGGCCGGCCCTTTGCGTTCGCCCAGCAGCTCCGTGACGCCTGCCGCAGATGGCTGGTACAGGATGGCCGAACCACCGCCCAACTGGTGGATGCCGTGGTGCTGGAGCAATTCATCACCCGCCTCCCCTCCCGAACATCGGAGTGGGTCCAGTGCCACCGGCCTGATGATCTGGAGACGGCTATCCGACTGGCGGAGGATCACCTGGTGGCGAGGTCCAGGGTCGGCGAAAGAACCTCTTCTCTCTCTCTCTTCCCCCTCTCTCTCTCTCTCCTCCTGTTCCCAGGCCCAGACGGCGGGGACCGCCCACACCAGCACCCAGGCGGCGGTGCACAGAAGCGGATCCGCTGAACGTCCCAAGGGGGGCGGGGCCCTATCTGGATGGAGGGGTGGAGCCACGACCCCTGGCGGTTCCCCAGACAATGACAGGTCTCTCTCCGGTTCAATCAGTTGATACTGCTGGCCCCGGGGGTATAGTGAGAATGTCTGGGCCGAGGTATTGGCACCGCGGGCACGAGGATAGCGCACCAAAAGTTTGCTCCATGAAGGAGGTGAGTGCGCTGATTCGCGTTCCCGCCACGCCAATCGTCGCCCCCGGTCGCGACGGGTTATACCGGATACCTGTGAGTATAAAAGGGGGTACATATCAAGCTTTGGTGGATTCGGGGTGTAACCAAACCTCCATCCATCAAAGCCTGCTTCAAGACCCGGCATTGGATACGAGCCGCACTGTAAGGGTAAGGTGTGTGCACGGGGATGTTATTCACTACCCGCTAACGGCAATAGATATTCAATTCCGGGGGAAAAAACATAGTGTAGAGGTAGCGGTTAACCCGCACCTCAAACACCCGCTAATTCTGGGAACTAATTGGCCTGGATTCAATAGATTATTGGGAGTTTTATGTGCGGGTGTTTCTTGGAAGAAGAAATCGCTGGATAGGGGGCGAGTCGCTCAGCTGGGGGAATCCCAAGCAGTGACGTCACGCGCTGACTCAGGGGAAGGGCTGGGAATTTCCCGGTGTAAAGACTTTCCCCTGGAGCAGTCGCGTGATGATACACTAAAACATGCACTCGAAAGAGTGCAGGTTATAGATGGGAAAATCCTCCAGCCTGATAGACCCCTCTCCTATCCGTATTTTGCGGTGATTAATGATAGGGTGTATCGAGTGACCCAAGACGCTCAGACAAAAGAAGATACAACCCAGCTATTAGTACCGAAGAGCCGCCGGGAAATGCTTTTTCAGGCGGCTCATTCTAATCCTATGGCCGGACATTTAGGTCAGGCGGCCACACTAAATCGCCTCATGACCCGATTCTTTTGGCCGGGCATTCACGGTGACGTCAGCAGATGGTGCGCGGCGTGCAGTGAATGTCAGCTGGTAAATCCACCGGCCACCCCAAAAGCGCCGT